AATACCAGTGTAATGATTTGAAGAAACATTTCATTTGAACATCTCTCAAATATCAGAGCCTGTTAAAAATCCTTTGCAAGCTATAAATCTTCTATCCCGGATGCTTTTAGAGAAGACACAGACAACTCCATAGCAAAATAGGGACCTTTCAACATTCCTGTGATTCTGTGATTCTGTGATTCCTGTAAATGGTAATCACTCACATTGTGGAACGGCCACATTGAGCCAAATTCCCCAGTCACGGGGGTTTAATGTCTGCATTAGTTGAAGAAAGAAAGCAACGATAGCATAGGCCAGCTGTTGGTCCTCACAGTATTTCCATGTGCATTGACAAGTTTCAGGATATTGGAAGATGATGCAATTTTTATGTTTGACATAAAATTAAGGTAACAGAATAAATATAAAATGTAATTAAATTAATAGCAATGGTACTGAATTGTACCATTCTACAAAATTGTAGAAGAAATGACTGAAGGTGGTATTACACTGTTTCAGAGTACAATGACCACATTTAAAGGACTAAAAGGGTAGAATGGAATATGCATATCCTTACTGTCCTTATGTTAAATTTTGTTACCTTTTCTGATATTGTACCACAATGATGGTTGTATAAGTGGAAGACTACTCTCTTAACAATAATCTAGAAACTGCTTCAAAACTCCACCTATCTTGTAATTCACAATAAAAATGCCAGTGCCGCAATACTAAAGAATTGGGTGATAAAGATATATTAGTTGGTCAGATGCAGTTGCTTTGAATTACGGCATAGTTTGACTTCAGTTAATAAGTTTGTCTGACATTAGAATCATTGCATTCAAATAGAGGTTAATGAGACTTAAAATTAAACAGGTATTTCCTCAAACATACAATAAAGATAATTGCTTTTTGGTCTCAATTAGGAAAGATGAATGATGATTCTGTCTTGCAGTGTAAGGCTAGAAGCCACAAATTTTAAGTTCCATCTTATGGAACACAGAACAAGCAAGTGGTCTTCTTGATATTTATTCCTTCCTTTGTGAAATACTACTACTTGTCCACTGCAAAAGTACTTTAAGACATACCATCAAAATTCTTTTAGTATCAAAAAAAAATTATACCATTATAATTTGCAATTTAGTGTACTTTCAAAGTTATTTTAGTATAACACAATGCAGGAGCCCATCTATGTTCTACTAAGAGCTTGGTATCTTCTCTATGAGTTGAAGTCAGTACCTTCAGGTTTCCATTTATTTGTTCTATTTATTCCCTGTTTCAGATACAATCATGACACTTTCATCATTTATTGCTCTCTCAAACTGAATTGTGTTTTTAAAAAAAACTCAATTATTTGTTTGTGTGTGTGCATGTGTTCACACTCTGTACCTTAGCAAAGTTTTTCCTTTGGTTATTCCTTTGGTATGTTCGGGAATAACTGTAACAACCATTCGCAAGAGCTGAGCAAACCCCACACAATTCATGCTGAGCTAGAATCTGCTGGTTTAATTCCCTGCTGGGAGTCTGCCAGTTGGGAAACGCTGACCAGCAAGTACAGGTCTTAATTACACAAATCCAGAAGCTGCTGCCAACCTCTCCCCATTGAGAAGCATTTGCTTTCTAGTGTTCTTCTTGATGAACAGATTATCACTCAAACATAATTTATTGCTGCTTTATATTTTAAGTAATTAAATGAAGAAACCTTTTAAACTCAAGGGAATTTTAATAGGTTACTTGCAAAATGTTATTGCAGGCAACAACTTGTACATGATTTTAGTTCCAAACCCACCAAAAAATTATACAAATCAGCATTGTAAAAGTGTCAAATTAATGCCTCACAGGCTTTGCTGGCAGAGTTAATTTCTAAATCCTAGATGTGGGGAAACGTTACTCTCATTTTTTTCCTTTTCCATTTTTTTTTTTAGAAAAATTTACAAGTGAAATATTACTACAAAACTTTTTTTTTATAAGGAATTTTTGCAAAACATTTACATTTTTACCATCAACTATTTTTCTGTTTCAAAATCATTATGTAGATTTAATACCCTATGCTGCACATCAATTCTTGCGGGATGACAATTCAGTGACATGCATAAAAAAACACCACAAGGCATTAAAATGAGGACTTAAATACAAATATTGTTGCAAGAAAACAGTTATAAAATTGAAAAATAGGACCTAAACATCATGCTTACCTAACTCTGACAAATAAACTTTTTCTCCTAGATTACACACTTTTATTACTGCTCTCATGAAAGAATGTGATAAATAATGACTTAACACCAATTTCTAATGTAATCGGCAACACATACACAAACCTAACCAAAGAAAGTATATTGTAAGAAAAAAAACTATTCTAACACTGGAGCTCTACCATGGTAAATACACTTTGCACTGATAATTACAATAAAGCAAAATTTTTAACGGTGGCAAAGGGAATGAACAGTGAAATGCCATTAAACAAGATACTACTGCACATCTGTGCCCTATTACTTACAACAGCTATATCCCACTGAGTCAAATAAAGGACATTGAAATTTACGATCCTTTTAAGACAGAAAAGTGGATTCCAAATGGTATGCAGAACAGACTGTCAAAATGTTTCTAATTCCAGTGGTAAAATGTGCACCTGCTAACACAAGTTAATGTACTTGAGACGCTATGAAGCCAACCAGATTCAGATTTTGATACATCTATAATAGGGATTCATTGCAGATTAAAAATTACTTCAGTTTCCTATCTGCATACATAAGTATGCATTAAAAAATTACAGATGAAATGGTTGTGCAGAATGCTCATAACTTCAGTTTACAAAAATTGTTAACCTCTAGGAAACATGGTATTAACATTAGGAAAGGTTTTTCTTTGCATAAAGAAATTTATAGCACTGATTGTGAAGCATAATGATAAAATATATATCTGACGTTTCATTTCCTATATAATAAAATTAACAGTTAATACTACCTAATGTTTATCTGTATTAAATGTAACATCTAATTGTTTCTGATGTTTTAAATCCAGATACATCAGTTAAGAGTACTTTAAATAAAATATACAAAATAATGTACAAAACCCAACTAAAATTTAAAGACTCTGTTACAAGTCTACAAAAGCTTTAAGAAACTTGAAATTTATAACCACAGTGTAAAATTGTTTTTCTTTAATCTCAAAGCTTTTCATGTAAACTGAAAGTATAAAATACCTTCAGTTTAGTATTTTGCTACAAAGGGCTGGCCTAAAGTGTACACAGTGTAAACAATGATTGGTATTTCTCTTGCTTCAAAAATACAGAAAACACAAGATTGATAAAGTATTCAGATGAGAAGTATACGTTTTGTGAGAGAATGCACAAGGTATCTGTTATGTCTCAAACCAACAGCTACCAGCACATTCTTTCTTTCGTAATTAGCAGGGAAAAAAAATAATCTTATCCTTCTTGAACTGTACTTCCTTTAGTTACATCAAAAATATTTTGGTGTATAAATTTTTTTAAAAACTGGTCATGAGAATTATTACCAAATGACTGTATGTGTAAAAGATTACATTTACGTCTATGGGAATTAATTAAAAATCCTGAGTATGAAATATTTGGCCATCTTTCCTCCTTGTACGCACTGGAGTTTTCACATAGAAAATGCAGTTTGTTTTTGCTGTTGTTGTTTTTCAATTCCTCTGTATTCCTATTAAACTGGCACATCTGAAAATGTGACCAAATCTTTGAAATCAAAAGTCGTGTAGTAAAAAGATAACTATATTCCTCTTTCCCTGGTTTGTTTTGTGGTTTGACATTCAATGTAATATTTGATAGGTAACAGATATTTATTACCAGCCCACATATTATACTTGAAGATAAAATAAAGACAGTAATATTTAGGGGAAAAGAGAGAAATTGTTTACTTTCAGTACCTTTTTTTGGTTAAAATGTGATAATTCATTCTTTTCTTTGGCTATTAAGTCAAAGCATAAAGAACTCGGCACATTAACCACAATATAATAAACTAGTATTTACAGAGAGAAGATACTGGAGAATGAGCTACAACACTCAATTGTCTGATTAATTTTCATGAATTCTAACAAAATTAAAACATTTAAGAACTTAAAATTGGGTTTCTATGATTCATGTGACCTATAAGTTAGAAATGGACCATGGATGTTTTAGAATATAATGAAATGAAATACCAAAAAATTGACACAAAAGTTCCCATATTCATTTTTCAACCTACATAAAGACACTATTACTTTTGTAAAATCTTACGTTAATATCTTTCTATGGTTTTATCTCTCCTACTGTATACACTAATTCTACATAACCTTAGCTCTCCAAACAAAGAGAGGAATTAGAACTCACTGATTGTCATTTATACACACTACTATAATGTAGTGGTCAAAATTAATCTGAGGCCCACCTCAGAATCACTTTGCAGCATGCATCATATAGCTGCTTTTTGAGTAATTCCGAAACTTGAGAAAAGACGGCCAAAATCAACTGACATGTTCTATGGACTGAGCAAAAACCTAAAATAGTTCCACTATAATTCAATCTTTATTCAGTTTTGCTATGCCTCATGGGAAAAGGATGTTCTCATGAAAATATTACATATTTATTTTAAAAACAAAGTACCTTCATCAAATGATATTAATCCTAGTCAAGGTCCACCCTGTTTTACATTGATATTATCTTATTTTATAAACACATTAACATACAATGCTAAAATAGGGGAGGAAAGTTCATTTCAAATCATTACATGATATACAGACAACATATAACTAAAAAAGTACAGTATGGAAATAATATTCCCCCATCTGTTTATCCAGTACATCAATTTGCGCTGTTTGTATTTTTGAAATTTTTGTCTTGTTGCACCGGTGTACACTTCCCATGCTGACCCTCCAACCTGAAACACTTATAGAAGTCATGACTGAAAATATGATTTCCTGCTCTGTAATCCACTTTACCAGCCCACTTCCATATCCTGAAAGGTATGTAAACTTAAGTGCAGCACTAGGTGTCCATATAAACAATCCTTTCAGAATTCTTCCATGTTTGTTGAAACATTAGGGGTTGCTGGGTTTGAATCTTGAGAAATGGCAGCAACAGTGACAATTCTTGGAGAACCAAGAACCTCAGTAACTGAAGAGTCCAGTTCTCCTGAGGTAACAATGGCAAGGGCTGTTCCACCACCCTTCTTGTTCTGATGAGTTTTGACATGTTTCGAGAGATGGTCACTTCGCATAAACCTTTTCGAACATTCTGGGCACTCAAATCTCTTTTCACCTTTTTCAAAAGAAGAAGAAAACCAAAATGTTACTGAAAGAGAGCACTGAACACTGCTTAGTAATTTGAATCTGACCCTTTTCTATTCAACATTTCAAGTGTCTTTAAAAGGAGAAAATATTTTCTTCTCTACCTGTCTGATTTCCGGGTGTGTTCTGTTCAGTCACCGGCTTTTGGCAATCTACTCTTCACTACTAAAATGTTCTCAACAAATATTGGCTATGCTGTGATTATCTGGTGAGGAGTTTGAATTTCAGGCCACCAGACAATTTTCATAAACTTTCATAAACCTGACAAAGTAGGAGAGGTAAGAGCCCTGAAAGAATGACTTGATAGCATTTTTTAAGAATACTTTTGTTATTTAGATCAGAGGTATGATGAGGGAAATTGCAAACATGAATCCCAAAGCTCCAATAGGATGTATGACAACTACATCAAGAGAGAGAAACACAACATACTAAAAAGTCCTGTCACTGTCCAAATGTAATTAGTGCTTAGACTTCAAGATGCTATAGGCTGTGAGGGAAGACATGAGAAGGGGATACCTTCTTGGGGTTAGAAATATGAAGGCTTATGAAATTTTCAGTTTCTGAAGGTCCACCTTTCCAATCTGAACTGTTAAGACAACTTGCTTTATCAACTCTCACTTGAAACCTCCCAGAAAGGCCAAAACCGGAGCATGGAGTAAGTTAGTACATTTCTTAAGGACTGAGCTGCTCCAGATAAGGAAATTATGACCCTGCTCCATGGCAAATCCTACATGCTTGATCTAAACTTGTTAAATTTAGATCAGGCACTAGCTAATGTACATGAGCTATCTGGGATGAAACGGCCATATTTTTCTAGCATAGGTACAGAAGAACAGTTTGAACAGATCTCATTTTATTTATTTGATTTCACAGTCAGCTTGAATTGATGAAAACTGAAATCTACCACTTCCTCTGTTTTAAAGTTACTTTATTTACATGTAAAAATAGTTTTCAGAGATCCTACTAAGTAAGAAATTTGATACCAGTGTTTAACCATGGACACTATGATTCAGACTTGCCGTACTATGCATACAGAGAGTGCTGACCAACCTGTGTGGGTTCTTCTGTGTCTTTGTAACTCATCACTCCTTGTAAATCGCTTGCCACAAAAAATCCAGTTGCATATAAATGGTCTTTCACCGGTATGCCAGCGCAGATGTGCTCGAAGATGAGATGTCTTACCATAAACTTTTCCACATCCTTCAATATGGCAGATATGTTGTTTCTTTTTTCCTGGCTCATTGCTGCCTCTAAAAAGATCAAATTTAAACAGGTAAGTAATTATACTATAAAATATTATTAGCTATTAGGAAAATATTTCATGCTAATAAAGAATTATAATCCCTTATCTAAAAAAATATATAAACACACTTTCTAATAGAAAGCATTAAAAAAATGTAGGCAATTTAAAAAAGTCTCATGCCCACATGAGGCAAACTGTGATAAGATACCTAAATACATACTGATAAAATTTACATTTACCTTCCTTCTCCCTCTCTGCAATTAGGACATGAGCAGGCAACTCTTCTCAATTTTTTGCCGGGTTGCACTTCCTGGTCAGAACCTTGTTGCGATTGTTGCAGCTGCACTTGCGTTATCTGATCAGGACTAACAGCACCAATTGCTGCATTAGCAATGCCACCTACTGCTACAGTAACAGGAGCTATTGTGGCTTGCTGTACTTTTACTCCATCCTGTCCTTGCTGTTGACCTGTAAAATAAGAATGTTTGCACCTTTTATTAGTCATTTCAGTAAGTGAAATAGAACAAAAATCCACCTAAAGTTAAGGGAGGCCACAAAACAAATATTAAATCCAGCCATTTTCCTGAAGCACTACTAGAGTAGTTACCTGCTAGCTCAGATAGCCCTGTTTAGTGTAATTTGTTATTACAACACTACAAGATTGCAAATTACTGACTGATATTAAGAAACATGAACTAGTTTTAACATTTTTCTTTTTCTCAAAAGTTGAGAAAAATGAAAACCCTTTAAACAAAATCTCACACAGAAATATTGTTAAATCTATTGCCAATTAATGTCTCTCTAATAGCCTTTGAAAATATTCAGAAAACTATAATTAGCTAATTTTAAAAGTTGCTTTATAGCACATACAGAATTGTCAGTTCTCCTGCAGTCTGCAGTGAATCAACATTGAGGCCCAACGGATCTTTCACAAAGAAAAAGAAACATTGTAGGACTAGACTTGAATAAGCTAGCTTTGTTTTTGGGGTTTTTGTTGGGTTTTTTGGGTTTTTATATTTGTTTTTGTTTGTTTGTTTTTCCCTCAGGATTCTCCACCTGGGATGGGGTAGTCCTGGTTATACACACAAGGTGGGGGACAGGTGGCTGGAAAGCAGGCCAGTGGAAAAAGGTCTGGGTTTTTGGGTAGAAGGCAAGTTGAATATGAGTCAACAGTGTGCCCTGGCAGCCAAAAGGAACAACCATGTCCTGGAGACCATCCAGCACAGCATAGGTAGCCGGATGAAGGAGGTGACTGTCCCACTCTACGCTGCACTTGTGTGGCCCCACCTTGAGTACTGTGTGCAGTTTTGGGCACTTCAGTATAAGAAGAAAGATGGTGAAAGGTCTTGAGGGCAAGACTAACAAGGAGCAGCTGAGATCACTTGGCTTGCTCAGCTTGGAGAAGAGAAGGCTGAGGGGTGACCTCATTGCAGTCTACAAGTTCCTCCTGGGAGGCAGTGGAGGGGGAGGTGCTGATCTCTCTCTGGTGACCAGCAACAGGACACAAGGAGATGGAATGAAGCTGTGTCAGAGAAGTTCAGGTTGAACATCAGGAAAAGGTTCTTCACTGAGGGTCATTGGTTACTGGAAGAGGCCCCCCAGTGAAGTGGTCATAGCACCAAGCCTGTCAGAGTCCAGGGGACTTTTTGATGATGCTCTTAGTCACATGATTTAGTTTCAGGTAGTACTGCAAGGACCAGGGAGTTGGACTCAATGATCCTTATGGGTCCCTTCCAAGATAGAGGTATTCTATGAGTCTGATTTTGTTTTGCAGAAGGGGATATGTTTTCACAAAGACTGAAAAAGCACCTTGATTGTATCAACTGGAATTTTAAGATTGACTTGAATTAAGAATTCAGTTTCATTGCATAAGCTCATTGATATCATTGGTTTTCTTGATCAAAGGAAATCAGCATTACTGTCTTTATATTAAAGCAAAATGAAGACTACTCCAGTATAGATAAGAAGTGTAGTTTCTTGAGGAGCAGCATAATATAATGTTTGCTTTAAAAGTTAGTACTATATAGTCTAAGAAAATAATGTGACAAGCTAAATCTGATGGAGAGATGTGACTTCTAGTTGCAATCTGACAACACTGGATGTCAGTCCTGCCAGTAACAGGAATAGGCCAAAACAACATTAGATGTTACAATTTTAAGAAATTCAGTGCCTTCACACAAATGGGAAGAGGAAATACTACTTACTTATTGAGAGTGCAATGACCAACCAGAACTCCTTAGAATAGACTAATATTTTAAGACATTAAAGTCCTTAGTACTGAAAGTATTTAAAACTTAGAAATCCCTGGGAGGTAACATGATTGAGAAGGATTCAGATGGGTACTCCAACTTACTTCTCAAGCAACCATAACAGTCACCATCAATGGAGATAAGACAGAGGAGACGCTCTCTCTAAAGTCTAAGCTGCCTAGCTACCACATGAGTTCATATACAACACATCATGGGATAATACCTACTTCATTCATATGACTGCTGAGAAGCAATACATGATTGGACAGGCTATGTTGTATAACACTATGACAACAGCCATAGATGAAACCTAACACTCACCACATACATGCAGATAGGTTAGGACTAAAGAACAGGATATACAGAAAACCTCTCAAAGTGACTCAACTGTCCTCTAACAAGGCAATGTTGGCTACAGGAAACAATAAATCTGTCTTGTGCCTAGGTCAGCACCAAGTTATTTTCATTAGAAGCACTGATCAAGTTTTCCCAGTTATCTCTCTTGGTTTCCATCTGGAACTTGCACCTGATCTGCCTAGATACGAATAAACATAAATGCCTTGTTTTCTTAACCAGGCCACAAATACTGACAGATGCTGACTACAGAACACTGACAAACCCAGAAGAGATAATGTTTGAATCCCACTTGCTGTTGGACAGATAGATAGTAAGACAAACAAATCTAAGAAAGATCTGTTCTTTGCAGCAGAGGAAGTATATAAAAAGAATTACAGGCTTAATCTCGAGTGCAGTCTTCATGTGTCTAGGATACAACAAAGTCTTTCTTTACAGAATAGCAATGTACTGGAAATAAATTAATTTCCCACATTCTAATAGGAAAGAAAAGTACTCATTAGAATCCTTGAGGGAAAATATGATAGGGTAAGAACAACATTGTGGTATAAATGGAAGTAGTATTATCTAGTACTTGGGTCTAACAATGGCAGAAGAGGACACAAGAGCTTCCAAAGAAAGTGCTAGGCCAGGGGCAACTCCTTGTCAGGCTGTTAAGCACCTGAAGTGCTGACTAAGTGCCATGAATATTCAGAGACAAAAATGACTGATTTTTTTGGTGGTATCTAACGCTCATCTTAACGTTATAATGTGATTGCTTATGTTGAAAACCAGCTGCAGTTTTTGGTTAGCCAAAGGTAAATAAATTAACAGGAAGAACTTGCCCAGATTGTAGTCTTTCTCAGAGCACAAACTATACCCAAGGTGTAGACTCTTTTAATTCACAGATCAGCACTATAAATGATGAGTCTATGAATGGTCACTGCAAAACTTAAAGAGTAACAGATATGATGGCCACACCTACTGCAGCCTCTTACGCTATTTTCACTATCAGTCAAGTTTTCAAGTACATAAATAAGAAGTATCCTCTCTCATTACAGTCTGTTAGAGGGATGACTCCATCCATGTCACAAAGTCCTATTTGAGTAAAAAAAACCCTAGGACCTAAAGTCAGAACACAGCTGAAGAGAGTAATTTTCTCTCAATTTTATCTTTCTCTCCGATTTTCTTGAATTGATAATAAAGTTTCAATGCAACTTCGCCACAGGATGCCAGACCAAGGCTTTCCAAGTAAGATGTGAATTGAGAAACTTGAACTCTAAGGAGGACAGTATTTTTAAAAATCTGAAATATTGTGCTGATTCAACATGAGCCAACTTTCAGTCTCAAAGTCATGACATGAACAAACACATAAGGGTCTTCTAATACTTCTTCAGTATATTGAGTACTGCTACTGACACACACTTTACCCGAACCTTCCCTCCCCCATGTAAGGGCCATACGCACCCTGGAGTATAGGATACACGCTACTGAGCTACAACCTTAATCTATTTATTAAACATAATATAGTGATACATTTGAGTAGAAATTCTTCACAATAACTGTAAAGGTGATAATGAAAATACAAAAGAGAAAATGACAGAAGTAAGGTTGCTCAGCAGACAATTACATTATCCATATGGTTTCAGTTACAGTAATTAAATGACTACTCTTTAGATTGCATTAACAAAGTTATTACATTTTCTAATGTGAATGTTGATTTGCTTCTTTAAATTAATCTCACAGAGTTACTATTTTAAACTCCCTTCCCTTGTATTCCACTTACTAAATTCAGAACAGAAGGTTCTGAAACTCTCAAAATATCAGACAAATAGCCTTATTTAAAGAACCAGACCACAATATTCAATAAGCAAATCTCTGCTTTTTAAGGTAAAAGAGTAACTGAAGGAAGAACACATCTGATAAATATGCTCTGCCAGAGATTTACACAGTTATCAGAAAATAGTGGAAAGTTCAATAGTGTTCCTTGACTGAACTTAATTTTCATTGGAAAATCTTTTATGTTGAAGAAAAATCAGAAATTTTTCACAACACAACTGACAGAACATGTCCTGGTCTAAATCTCAAAGTGAGTCTGCTCTAGTCTTGAGCTGTATGGGATTTTGATTTTTTTAAATTATATACAACTAGTGATCCACTATGGATCACTAAGGGCTTTAACCTTTACGTCCTTTATACTTATTAAGGGAAGATAAAGGAAGTTCATTATTTCTCAAAGGAAGTTCATTATTTCTCAAATCAAGTTTACTGAAGAGAAGATACTGAGAAAACTTAACTGTTGATATGACCTTGTCAGCATCCTACAAAATCAAATTGGGGCAACTTCTGTAAGTTTATAAAAATTAGAATTTTTCAATATAAAGGATATAGATACAAAGTAGCATTTTGTTTGAAACAAACCCTGCTTATTCCGAAAACAGGTGACTAAGATAATGTTATCCATACGGGAATCTCCTCACGCTTTCTAGATGGAGAAAAAAAGACCCATTAAAAATAATCTATACGACTTCTTACTAGTGGCATTAAAATACCATCTAAAGCATCCCAGAAATTCTGCAACAATCACAAAATCATGGACATTACTTCTTCCTGAACATACTCCAAACCACAATACCTGATATCACTGTACTTCACCATTCATAATCAAACCTTTCAGTAACAAGAGCTCTCATGTTTCAACACAGAGTTCAGAATGAGGTCTAAACAAACCATTACATGAGGGAGCAAAGTCACACTTCATCTATGTCATTCTGTATGAGTTGTTAAAGCACTCACTGCACATTTACACCTGCTTTTAGAAGCTAAAAAGTTTTTCCAAGTTCCCATGATTTCTTTAATAGCAATTTTCTGAAATCGTGAAACATT